AAGGAGAATTCTTGAAGTGGAAGGATGAGTGATCCCTTCTTCTCACCCTCCTCTTTCTGGCTGGAATGCAGACATGATGGCAGCCACTGTGGATCATGAGCCAACCTTTTGAGGACGGCAGGTCAGTAGATGAAGGAATCACGTCTCTGACACCATGAAGAACCACAGCAGACCTAGGCTGCTAACTTTTAACATTTTTGTGTGTGAGAGAGATATAGACTTCTCTTTTGTTGAAGACACTGTTTATTATCATTATTATTTTAGTTTTTGCTATAAGGCATGTGTTTTTGCCAGAGGGAGACAGAGAAGAGGAAAAGTGAGAAATCTCTCCCCAGGATTGATGACCGTGCTACAATCCCTTCGTCACTGTCCTCTCAGGATTTTGGGTACGCACACCCATGAACTCAATGTGATTTTCAAACCACTGGGCCTGGGACTTGAACTATGATATTGGCCATGTGGGATCAGTTCCTTAACTTTCATGCCACCTGCTGGCCCTAAGACACTATTATTTTGAGTTTTTGGTCAAAAAGTGGCTGGACTTAATCATGATATGCATACCTTGCTCTACCAAGAAACCAAAGGAAACACTCGAACTTCCTCTGATCACAATGCCAACCATCACTGCTTGGACTGGTTGAAGAGAAGTTTCTGCCTCTTATGACCCAAAGGCCCTGACTGAGGAAACTTCTCTGACTCTAATTTCTGAAGTATTGCCCTATCACATTCCCTATGGTAATATTTCACTTCTACTCCATTGAGTAAATCCTCTTTTGGGATCTTTCCCTCATTTTTAGGCATCTATTTCCTGAAGTGACAAGAGTAGCATAGGGACCAGCAGTTAGCATAATGGCTATGTCGCTGGACTCCCATGTAGTCGATCGCAGTTCGAGTCTTGGACCCGGTGGCTTAAACTCACGCCAGGCACGTGCCCAAGATCCCAAGAGGAGAATGGAGGAGAAGGGATTCCAGTGTGGCCATCCCCCCAGGGGGTGATTTCTCACTTTCTGTCTCTCTGTCTCTCTTTGTCTTTCTGGTGAGCACATGCACCATATAGCGAAAACCTCTCCAAAAAAAAAAAAAAAAAAAAAAAGAGTAGCATAGACCAGTAAGATGCAGATGCAGGAAATGGGACTTACTCCCTGGTCAGTACGAATTAGGGGTGGGGATGGCATGGAAAACCTGAAAAGGGCTGTAGCATGAACTGATGGCATTGATGGTCCCAATTATTGGCCTCCCTACAACCCTGTCCTTGATCCTATAATTGACTTTGGGCTTTTCCAGGTGATTTACTTTATCCCATCGGACTTAGCAGATTCAAAACTTAAAAAACTGCTTATGTTTTCCAATTCCTTTCTTGGAGCTCTGTGATCATTATGAGAATATGCCTGAGCTAGCGTGGACACATGGAACAGAGCGGAGGCCCACCGAAACCATCTGGCTGACCACGAGACATGCGAATAAGCTTTTGTTGATCCCAAGAAGAATTTTAAGGCCAAGCCCAATCAAGGCTAATAGAATCTCACAGCTGGTCTGTAGACTCGTGAAAAATAATAAATGCTGTAATCTTAAACCCATGAGTTTCAAGGTTTTTTTTGTTACGCAGGCTTTTGTGGCAATAGCTTGCTGCTATAGAACTCCTTTCCCTCAAATATCAACAGACTGGGAAAGGAGTATCTCCATAGTGACAAGTTGCTAGGTAACATTGCTTGTTTTGTTTATCTTCACAGGTTCCGGAGCTACACACAGTCAGAGTTCAAAGCCCAGTTCTGCCATTTGCTAGCTTGTGTCCTTGGCCAAGCTATCCCGTCTTTAGGTTTTTTTTTTTTTTTTTTTGTAATGGGAATGGAAATGTGATCTACTTTCATGGTTATTGTGAGGATTTAATGAGATAATGAGAATGAAGTAGTTCTTAAGACAGAGGAGTCATTAATGAATGTGCTTGTCTGTTTCCCTTAATAAAACCCTTACCCTCACTCCTGGAGGGCAGGAATCGTATGCCTTTCTCCTTCCTGTAGCCTGGCAGAATGCCCAGCAGTATCCGTTCTTTGTGGAATGATTTCAGTTTGATTAGTACAGAGGAACTTCAATGTTCTGTTTCAACCAAAACCCAGTATCTTTCTTCTTTTTATTAAGTGCACATGTGATATTTACATGTACCTCTCCCTCACTCCTGCTGTGCTATGAAATAAAACTTCAAGGCTGTCTGCACTGTCTGGCATCTACATGCTCTGCACGCTCCAACTGCCCTTAACCGAAACATGTTTCAAGAATTCTCTCTGAGGGAACCAGCAGTTAGCGTAATGGCTATGTCGCTGGACTCCCACGTAGTCGACCACGGTTTGCGTCCTGGACCTGGTGGCTTAAAACTCACGCTGGGCGCGTGTGCGTGCATGCCCAAGATCCCGAGAGGAGAATGGAGAAGAAGGGATTGCGGCGTGGCCATCCCCTCTGGGGGGTGATTTCTCGCTTTCTGTCTCTATGTCTCTCTCTGTCTGTCTGGCGAGCACAAGCGCCCTATAGCGAAAAAAAAAAAAAAAAAAAAAAAAAACCTCCCCAAAAAAAAAAAAACAGAATTCTCTCTGAGTGGAGCCAGGTGAATTGAGAGACATCCCTGCAGGCCAAGAGAGACGGAACTGGAGAAACTGTTTTCTTCCAGCAATCTGCCATTGGCTGCTTTCTGGACTCAGACCCCCTTGGGTTTTTCTCGGTGGCCTTCTTCTATTCCAGCCTGATGTTTGCATAGTGTGCCTCCCACTGTGGCCTGCAAAGCCACCTAGAGCACTACCCATGGCGTTCCTCTGTCCAGGGAAGGGAGGGAGGAAAATCACCTTTGGGTTTCAGTCATTCCGTGACTTGTAGGCTGGGAAGGGGGGGCAAGGGTAATTAACAAAGGTCTCCTGTGGGCTTCTGAGGGGAGAGAAGACTCAAGTCTCACTTCCACCACCAAGCTGTAGGCAAGATTTTGTTATATGAGCACTGTATTGAATAAAGACTATAGCTTCCATAATTGAAGGCCTCTTTATACCTCTAAAAACAAAACCCACGGAATTGGGCAAATGACCTCACCTCTGTAAGCCTCAGTTTGTTTTGTTTGTTTGTTTGTTTTTGTTTGCTTGTTCTCTCTTTTTTTTTTTTTTTTGAGAGGTTCTTGCTATAGGGTGTGTGCGCTCACCAGAAAGACAGAGAGAGACAGAGACAGAAAGCGAGAAATCACCCCCCAGAAGGGATGGCTGTGCTGCAATCCCTTCTCCTCCATTCTCCTCTCGGGATCTTGGGCATGCATGCACATGTGCTGGTGTGAGTTTAAGCCACTGGGTCCAGGACTCGAATTGCAGTTGACTACATGGGAGTCCAGTGACATAGCCATTATGCTAACTGCTGGTCCCTGTAAGCCTCAGTTTCTTAATCTGTAAAATAAAGGCTGTAACACTTTCTGACTTGACTTTATAAAAATGAACCATGAACTGCTAAACAAACATAAGAAATTATTAATATTTTATTATACCATTTGATAATGCAGAAAACACTTAGGTAGTTTGGATTTTATAAGATGTTGCACATATTTTATATAGAGAGATATATGAATTGTATATTATATTATATAAAATATATAATATATTATATAAATATTACCTATAATATAATATATTATATATACTGTACATTTATATAATTTATTATATAAGTATTATTATATATAAATATAATATATAATATAAATATTCTC